ACCTTTGTAGTTATTATTTCTTATAGATTTGCCTCTTAGTCTTTATACTAAATGTATGCATGGTTTACACATTGCAATGGCAGTATTAGAGAATTCTGTGTACTTAACTTTTTCCAGTGACTTTTCTACCTTTAGGTGATTTCCTGCTGCATGATAGCATCCTTTCTTGCAGTTGGAAAACTCCCTTTAACATTTCTTATAAGACAGGTCTGGTGATGATGAATTTTCTCAGGTTTTGTTCATCTGGGAAAGTCTTTATTTCTCCTTTGTATTTGAAAAATAGCTATGCTGGGTACAGTTTCCTTAGTTGGAGCTTTTTTTTTCCTTTAGCACTTTGGATATGTCATTCCTATTCCCTCCAGGCCTGTAAGGTTTCCTCTGAGAAGTCTGTTGCTAGATGTATCAGACCTTAGATGTTACTTGCTTTTATCTTGCTGCTTTTCAGATCCTTTGTTTTTGACCTTTGGGAGTTGATTATATGCCTTGGGATAGTCTTATATGGATTGTATCTCGATATTCTGTGAACTTCTTGTACCTGAATATTAATAATTTTACATAGGTTTGGAAAGTACTTTATTATTTACTTGAATAAATTTTCTACCCTGATATCTTTATCTACATCCTCTTTGTGGACAATAACTCTTAATTTTGCCTTTTAGAGACTATTTTTTAGATTTTGTAAGCACACTGTACTCATTTTTTCTTCTCTTCCTATTTTTAAATAGCTCATCTTTGAGTTCACTAGTTCCTTCTTCTGCTTAATTCTGCTGTTAAGACAGTGTTGCATTTTTTAGTTTATCTATTTAATTTTTCAGCTCCAGTATTTTTTTTAAATGTCAATGTCTTTTTAAATTTTTTGGATAGATTTATGAATTCCTTCTCTGTGTTATCTTGAAGTTTGCTGAGCTGCCTCAAAATATTTATTTTGAATTTCCTATCTGAGAGATTATATCTCTGTCACTCGAGGGTTGTTCACTGGTGCCTTATTTAGTCTGTTTGGTGAGGTAATATTTTCCTAGATGTCCTTCACGTTTATGAACATTTGTACTTGTTTGGGCATTGAAGAGTTAGATATTTGTTCTAGTCTTCACAGTCTGGCCTTGTTTGTTTGGGACTCAGTTTCCTCCTGCTTGGGTGATGGAGTCTCCTCTGGCCCAGGGCTTGCCTTAATGGCATCAACAGAATTCTGCCTTGTGCTGTGTTCTGACTGTGACACGGTGGGACTGAGTTCCAATGCCAAGTTCCAAATTCACTTTGCTCTTCCTCCTCCAACCACAGATTTTCTCTCTTGACTGTGCTGCTGGGAGTTGGGGTAGGGACAGTGTAGGGAACATGAGAGACTGTCCTTCCCACCCTCTTCAATGTGTCCTAGTTATTATGCTAAACCCAGGTACTCTGATCACTCACCTGATATTTTTGGTTCTTATGAAGGTGCTTTTTTGCATGGATAATTGTTTATGTTCCTGCAGAGGATGAAGGAGGAAATTTCTGGAGGGTTCTAGTCGGCCACCTTGCTCCACCTCCTTCAGTAGGAGTCTTATCTTTGTAGCGTGGTCTTCCCAATAATTTTCTATGGACTTTTAATAACTATGTCAAAAATTAATTGACCAAAATAATTAAGTGATAACGCATATTCAACCTAAACCAAATTAAGCCAAACTAAAAAGTTATTAAAAAATTGCATCTAGCAATTTTAATCTGACATGATTTTAATGAAAGCAGTAAATTACTTGAAATAGAAATAATACCATTAATATTCCATATAGATTATTTAAACAACTTTTCTACATATGTTGAGAAGGAAATAAAAATTGAGACAAAATTTTGTAGATGAGAAAGAAAAATATATATTTCTAAGTAACACGCTTGGATAAATGCTATTCTAAAATAGCAGCTAGTAATTTTAATTTGACATGAATATAATCAAAAATGCGACTAAGGTGAATGAAAGAATTGTAGGACTTCATATTGTCTTCATCATATCAGGCAACACGTACCAAAATGTCCCTCTAAATTAAAAAAAAATTAAACTATCAATAACTTGCAGTCAACATAGATTGAAATTACATATTTTAATTTCAGTAATCATCATTAACTAACTCCTTCTCTGAAAGATGATATAATATGGAACCTCTATTTCTCTTTTCTTCTGAGTTTGTTGATTTTATAATATTTAATTTGTGATGGTTTATTATATATCTGTTCTACTCTGCAATAATAATTACCTCAGTTGTTTTATCTTAGGTCATACTTAAATGAAGTAAGTGTTCAGCCACCTGTTGTATAACCATGGTTTCCCAATTTCTGTATTCTTTATTATGATTTATCTCTTCATCAGTTGCATTTAATCTTCAAGTAGGGTTTAAGTTTCATTTTTGTAAAATTTCATTAAACCTGTTATTTAATGTATAGAAATGCCTTTCTGTTGTATTTATAACTGAAGAGCAATTTGCTCTATATAATGGAGACTTTGTTACATTGTTTCTGAAACTCAATATTTATTCTGAGGCCAATCAGATTTCCCACTTGTTATGTAACTTGCTTTTTTTTCCTGAAACTTGAAGAATGGTTTTATTTTTGAAATTTAATAACTAAATATGTTTTTATATTATTAGTTTTTTATTAACTTTTCTTGATATGTGCCCTATATTTAGTCATTCATTTACTTTAGGTAAATTTCCCTCTTCTACATCTCTCATTATTTTCTGTTCTATTTGTTGGTGTCTTTACTTCAGCAGTATCAATAGCCTTATGGTGGATGCACTATAGTTTATATACCTATTATCTAATTATTTAAACCTGTTGTCACTTTATTTTTATTCAGTATAACTAAATCAATCATTATCTCCATGGTGACTTCTGTTTCCTGCTGCTTCTAATTTTTTTATCTATACTGTTTATTTTGTGTCATAGTTTTTTCTTTTTCTTAGAATATTCCTTTTCTCATAATTCGGATCTTTTATTACATTATTGTGCTTTCCTTGTTTTACTAAATCTATGTCCTTATTGGATTATTCAATAAATGCAAAACACCAGCAAAGAAATTTTAGTTCCTTGGATTGTATATTCTTTCAAATTGGATTATCTGTGTTATGTTTTAAAATCAATGCCTTTCTCCATTTATATATTAATATATTTTTATTTTGGAGCTGTAATATATTTTCATCACTCTCAAACCATGTTTTTCCTCTTGTACCTTTGTTAATATCTTATATTTACTATGAAATGGTGTATGTGGTTTCTCCTTGACATCACTCTTACCTTATCTGGGATTATTTCTCTTCCCCCTGTGTACTAGAAGGTACAGAGAACAGACAGAAGAGAGTGGGAAGCACAGCTGGGACTGATTGCAGTCTTTGAGGAGGTCCTGGGTTTACTCTTCTTGCTGAGATCCCACCAGATGTTCTTCATTGGACTCCATTACACCAAGCTTGGCATGAATTCAAGTCTTTTGGGCTTTGGCTCACTTCCCTAATTTAGCACTGTATGCTGGAGCAAGAGAATCTGTGGCCCTTCCTGCTTCTGCCAAGGTCCAGATGTGATTTGTAGAGCATCCACTAAGTGTTTTATCTTGATTTTCCCAGACCCATCAATTCATCCCTTCATCCCACTCCTTTCAAGTTACAGAGCATTCAGATTCAGGATTTGTGTCGCTTCTTACATCCCCTGTGTCACTTCTGTAGGTGGGAAGAGTTGGGAATTCTGTTGACCTGGCCATGACACCAGAATTTTCTGTTACTTCACTGGTCATAATTTTTTGAGGTTATAATCATTCCCCATTTCTTTCTGCTGATGGGAAAATTGGCAGGGTTGTTTTTGTTTTGCTTTTGTTTATTGGAGGACGAAGATTCTGTACCATAACTTCACAGCACCACCATCCCACAGATAAATAACCATTTTTAAATGTATTTGTGAGATATGCATCTTAAGAGATTAGAGCAAAAATATTAATGTATAAAAATAAGCAAGCAAGTGCGTGAAACACCTAACTTCGATGCCTTGGACTATCAAATACTAACACTTATCAACATTTAGTGTCCATTTTATACAAAATACTAGGCCTGGTGCTATGAGAGACATAAAGGTGCATAAGTAGGGACAGGAAAATGGAAAGAGGCAACTATGCTTAGACCACTGTATAAGGTAGAATTAATTACTTCCAATAACAAATCACAGACAAAACGTAAAGGTGAGTTAAAGTGGGGAGACAGTATATCCAGTTAAGGGAATATCAAAATGCATAATGAAAAACATGGCATTTATAATGTATTCCAAAGGATGGTCAGGGATGGGAGCAGGTACATTTAAAGAAAAGAAAGTAAAAGGATAAGCATTAGATATGAAGGTAGAAGAGCATAGAGTGTAGCTAGAAAAGAACAAGTTACATAACATGTGTAAAACAGATAAGTTTACACACATTGGAGCAGTGAAAAAAGCTGGAAGTGGAGCATGTAGGTGCAGTGTACTTAACTGAATGCCGGAGTGACTTAACTCTATAAGGTAATGGAGAATAAAAACCACGAGCAGTTAATAAGCAAGAGTATGACACGAATAGGCCAGTGAGGATAAACATTAATCTGGCAGCAGGATAGAGGTTGAATCCTGGGCAAGTGAAAAAAATGTTACACTGGGTGTCATGAGATTTAGACTCTCAGTTCAGCTTTGCCACACTACCCATATGTGTGAGATTAAGTGAATCCTTTGACCCCTTTTGTTCCCATTGAGCTCTCTGTAAAATAAAGATGGTGAACTTGGCTTCTAATATTTATTCTAGCTCTCAAATAGCATAGGCCTATATATTATAATGATGAAAACATGGGAAATATGGAAACTCTTTAGTATATACATAAGTTTGGCAAAAAATAAATGGAAAAATAAATTATGATTGAAGTGTTTATAAAAAAATATTTTATATGCAAGGGAATTTACAAAGGTAGAGTCAAGAAGTCAAAGAAATTGTATGAAAAGATGACTCCAAGTTTCTGATTTGGCCTTATTAGGAGAATACAGATAACTTTCAGAAGAAGTGTGAACACCAAGCTGGGGAGCTTTTTTGAAGAGCAGGATCTTTCTATCAAAATGGGATAGTGGAAGATTAAAGTAGTGATGACTACATATAGGAATACAAAGTTGACAGTGAGAGACGCAAGTCTGATACTGCAAAAGAAAAATGTAAGAAACTTAGGACTCAACTTTATCAATGAGTTTAACTATAGAAATGCACTAGGGACTGAATGGTGTCCCCCCAAAATTTATATGTCAAAGCTCTAATCCTCAATATGATGATCTCCAGAGATGGAACTTTGGGGAGGTAATTGGGTTTAGATGAGGTTATGAGGATGGGGTCCTCATGAAGGGATTAGTGCTCTTATAAGGAAAGGTCAGAGAACGCTCACTTGTTCGCATATGCTCTTGTATTCTCTCTCTCTCCTCAACCCCCACCATAAAAGGGCACAACAAGAAGATGGTTGTCTACGAGTCAGGAAGAGAACCTTCACAAGGAACCAAATCAGTGGGCACCCTGATCATGAGACTGCCAGCCTCCAGAACTGTGAGAAATAAATGTCTGCTGTTGAAGCCACACAGTCCACAGTATTTTGTTACAGCAGCCTGAGCAGATTAAAATAAAGAAATGTAACTTGTGAGACAGAAAGGTAAGAAAAAGAAAATGTAACATAAAGCCTATGCTTAAAGGAGTGCTTATTAGTAGTTAAGATGAGCTAGGCAAAATATAAGTGGTAGAGAAGTGAAAGATGACAATACTCATAACTTGCCCATTCATGCAACAGATACTTGCAGAATATTTACTGAAGGACCCTGCACTGGCACTTAGGGATCAAACTTAAATCCCACCTTCCAATCTGACAGAGATAAGACATATACTGTTTTTTATTCAGGTAAATTATGCATACCCATTAAAAGATCTGTAGATAAATGCCTTTGGATTTCTAAGACGGGGGATATTATTTCAACTGGGAGAAACACAAGAATAGAATATAATTTTATATAGTAGGTAGCATTTGGTCTAGACCTTATAGAGGAATAAGATGTTCGCATGGACGGAATGCTGTATGGGGAACTCCAGATGGAATAGTTCGTATTAGCTCTGGTACCAGAGTAGTGAGTATCTTTGCAGGAAACCTCAGGTGTAATCTTATGGAGCTCTGGAAAGACCATAATGAAATAACTATTTATGGAGATGGCTGGCAAAGTTAAGGACGTGGACAAGGGACATGATGGGCCTAGGGACAGGCAACAGTGAGAAGTCACTCCTAGGAAAGAGTGTTCGAGGAGCTAGTAAAGAGTGTAGCCATGTGGAAAGAATGGCCTGACAGAATGGCTCATCCTAGAGGGATGCAAACACTGCAAGAGCCATGATGCTGATGCAGGAGATGAGGGAGATAGGAGACAGGAAGAGACAGGAGGAGACAGGAGGAAAAGCCTCAGCCTTTCTCTTCTCACTCTCCAACCTCCCTGCTTGAACTCTCACCAGCTGATCCCAACAAGAAACACAGTCAGTAGGAACAGCTCAGTGGAGCACAGCTTGAGGTAGAAAATGGAGTGGGGTAGGGACCAAGAGGAAAACGATTGCCATAGCTACTGAGACAGGAGAGAAGAAAATGTGTATGTGAGAAAACGGTTCTTTTTGGCTAGAATAAATGATGCATGAGGGCAAAAAGCCAGAGTGTGCTTATAAAAGTAAATGGTAGCTGAAATTCATCAGAATAATGACAAAACAAAGGGAAATGAAAAAACTTATGAATCTGGTGCTTAACGCATCAGGGATGTTTAGTGCCTTTCCTGGAAATTACAGATAAAAGCAACAGGAATGGAGAGAAATGACATCAGAACATAAGAGGTACCACAAAATATAGTTAGTTTTTACAAATGTGAATGTAACAGTGGCCAGGAAGAGGCCGGAGGAAGAAAGCAGTACTCTGATTCCTCCATCTCACTCAATGAGGTGAACAGAAAGAATGCCATTTATTTTCTTGGACAAGGGCAGCATAGTCTTCAGACACTTGCTGGGATCAGGAGGGACAGGCTACTTCCATGATTTGGGTCACTGTGAGGGAAATAGTTAAAAAAAATGAAGGACAGGAGATCAGGGGAACTATTTGTGGGACTAGTAGAAGGAAGGCAGCAGTGGAGCGGGGAGAGGTGGAACAGAGCTAAAGAGGAAGGAGAGAAGGAAAAGGGATGGCAGAGGATGGGATGGTGATTTTTAATGGCAGGATCGCAGAGTCACGTTGTCAGAAAGTTGAACAAATATATATATGCCCCTGTAGGAATTCTAGAGAGGAAAACCAGTCATGAGACCTTTCTAAGTATATACTCTTAAGAGAAATCTTGATATGGTATTCGACCTCAGAGGTTAAGGAAGAGTGGGTTTCAGGAAGGACCTGGGGGGCGGTTAGCTACACACATAGAGGTGTGCTGCAACCAGCTTGCACCAGCTCCTGAGAATCAATTGTTACATCTCTTTCCAACTCTGGGCTCTGTGGCTTCATATAAATACCAAAATAGGTCATGGTAGGTGTAGTTCTACCCATAGAAACTGACAAATGCTACAGATGAGGGTCCCCTTCTCACAAAGTCAACTATCAACCCCAGAGCCTATTACTAAACCTTTATGAGCACACCACTGATCTGCTGCAGCTTCAATTTGAGGACAGGCTGTTGCAATGAGCACTGAGGATGGTGTTGCGTGAGAACATTTTCATGAAAGAAGCAGCACCCTCCGCCAGAGGTCACCGGGTGAGTGTGTGCTGAGCAGGTGCAGGCATGGTCCTCCTTAAAAGACTGGAATGAGTGGCTGTTCATTGATAAGAACTAAATTTTGATCGAGCTGAGAGAATTCTAGATGATGCAACCTAGAAGAGGCTAAGCAAATAAAAATAAGTCATCAACAACCTGTCAGACATGCAGAATTTAGTGAATAGAAAATTAACCCATTCCTCTGAACTGAGCAATGCTTGATTTAGCTTCAGTGAGCCTTACAAGTGGAAGCTGGAACTTTCTTCCTGTTTGTGTCTACTGCAAGAAGTAAAAATACACACCACCTACCTGAAGCCTGTCATGATACTTGTGTTTCTGTAGGAATATTTTCTAAAACATCTTAAGTTACTGCTAGAAATTGCCAGCAACTGTGTCTGTGTTTTTCCATTTTTGAAAGAAAGTAATACCCTCAATGCCTTAGAATTGTTCCTTCCCACCTTCTGATGCCTTGTCCTGGGCTTAGTGGATGTAAATTAACTCTGCTGCTGAATAAAGAAAATTTTATTCTAGGAATACAGTGCTGAATACAAAAAGAGAGTCATCAATTTTGTCTTTCTTTTCATTTTCTCTCCTTGACCCTTTTCTTCTTAACTATTCTTCTAATTTTTTTTTTCTAGCTAGCATGTTTTCTATGTCTGTCACATACACAGGGTTTCTTGGGGACTAGAAGTGCATAAGAAGTTTAACAAGGGGCGATTTACCTGCTTAATGTTATTGTTCACATAGCACAGTCATTCATCATCAATTCAGTAATGTTTGTTAATCACCTGTGATGTGAGAGACACTGTTCTAGACATATTATATCCTACACAGCAACATCTTCTAAGGTATATATTAAAACAGAAGATACAGACTTCAGGCAGGTCCATTCTGCTCTGATTTGGGTTTGAAATCAACAGTTCCATATTTGTTTTCATTTATTTTTAATATAAATTTCCTTGAGTATAGTTAGTATACAACATGATGTTATAGGATACATATATATAGTGAAAAGACTATTATAGTGAAGCAAAGTAACCTATTTGTAACTGTACTAGTCTGAATACTCTTGTATATTGACCATGTGAATGTCTTTCACTTTATTAGTTTTATTTTCTTAGCCTTATATCTTGGGAAATATTAGGTTCTCAGAGTGGAAGCAGTTCAGATGAGCCATACTGTAGGAAATACACTATTACTATAAAGGATACTTGCAGGAGAGCACTGTGCATTTCCTCCCTCAGTGTCAGCCAAATACACATAAAAAGTTGGGGCAGTGATACAATTAAAATGTTAGTTGAAGGATGCCTACAGGGCCCAGGCACAAAAGTGTCACCTCTTTTGTCAGTCACCTCCCTGACATCCCTACCATCAACCTCTCCTTCTCCCTGTTATAACAAAAGTCTTTCTTAAAAATGTAAGTAATGTCTACCACTTACAAAATTTTAGTTTCAGCTGTGCAAGGTAGCCCTCACCTGTAATCCTAGCATTTTGGGAGGCTGAGGTGGAAGGGTCGCTTGAGACCATCAGTTTGAGACCAGCCTGGGCAACATGGTGAAATTCTTTCTCTGCGCACGCACGCGTGCGCATGCACACACACACACACACGCCAGGCATGGTATGAGTGCCTGTAGTCCCTGCTACTAGGGAGGCTGAGGTGGGAGAATCACTTGAGCCCAGGAGTTTAAAGTTGCAGTGAGCCATGATCACACCACTGCACTCCAGCCTGGGCAACAGAGCGAGACCTTGTCTCTGAAAAACAGACAAATCAAAATTTAGTTTCTTAAAGAACACCTTAAATAGGGCTCTGAGCCATTTTTCAAATCACATGTATGTTTTCACAGGAAATGGGGCAGGGGGATAGGAAATAACTGAAATACAGGCTGTGTAGAGGAGTATCCACAGGGGAAGACAGAAGTTAGCAAAAAAGCATGGTGTGGAGGATGGTCTAACTGAGAAAGAGAGGCATTACCAGAATATAAGATCTGCTGCAGTTAGAAGAGACCCAAAATAACATTGTGTCAAATGGAGACAACTTTATATCTCTGTTGTTTAACGGCCCAGAGAGACATGGGCAGGGCTAGCATTGTGAGTCAGCTCCATGGGGTCATCCAGGGACCCAGGCTCCTTCCACCTTGTTGCTCTACATCCCTAAAGTGTCGCTCTCCCTCCAGGTCTCACTACTACAAGCTAAAAATTCCCAAGTTCATTACAGCTGTGCTTTCAATCAAGTTTGCTCTGCCAAGCCCCATTGCCACTCTACTTTGTCATCATGTCCCCGGTACAGCCTTCTTGTCCCTACTAGATACCCAATAGGTGGCAATACAGGCATTGATGGATCCTACTGGGCTCTGACAGGCTCTAATGCCCACTGACTGTTTGTTTTGCTAAATCTGTAGGGTTATCTGTGGTTAGGTAGGGGAAAATGCTTCTTTCTCTTCTGGTTACACCATGGTCTAGAGTTTCCAAAGTAAGATTGTTTATACTCCAGTGTTCTGTAAATTTTTATCAGACAAAAACTAAATAAAATACTTCCAGCTTTAATGGACAGTCCCTATTCTCCACTGCTCTAGATATGTATCCAAGAGGAACTAAGTTGTAAGATACACATGGAAAATAACAATCATACTGTGTTCAGAATCACTCCCCCTAACTTACAACTATATCTCTATTATAGTAAGCTCATTTACCTAGGCTCCCTTCACCCAAACAAGATTTCCTGTCCTCATCCTACCCCTCCAAATATCTTCTGTTAGACCTGTGCCACCAGTTCAGTGACATGCTCTGATCACTTATATTTAAAGTGAAGTTCAGCTAGACAC